TTAAAGAAGAAGAATTGAACTACTGAATAAGAAGAAGAAGAAGAAGAAGAAGAAGTTCTGAAATCTGGGCTTGGGCGAACTAAAAGAAGAAGAAGAAGAAAACCGAACAAGAAAAAAGAAGAGAAGAAAAAAAGGTCTGGACCGTCTGGTTCGTTCTTGCCATTCTAGCCATTCTGACTGGACGAACTGAAAGAAGAAGAAGAAGAAGAAGAAGAAGAAAATAAAAACCAACCTCAAGCTGAAGTTTAAGCAGTCTCGTAGAGTAACTGGAGTTCTTATTTGTCATCTCCTTCCTTCAGTCTTTGTTCAATGGAATGAGAAAAGCCTCTTAAACCATTTTAGTGTATAAGAAGACATTAGACATTTAGACAAATAAAAAAATGTTAATATATAACAGGTCCTATCTTATAAATGTAAGACACCCAATAATATTTCAAAAAAAAATATTGTTCGACTAATAACACTAGGCGCCTGCCTAATCGCCTAGGTGACCGCCTAATAATATGGGCGGGCGCCTAATGCAAAAACCACCAGTCGTTTGGGCGAGGTGACCTATAGTCGCCTAGGCGCCGCCTTGACAAATATGATATGTATATGTATAGGTATATGTATCTATATCTATTGTCTATTATATATTTATATTACTTTAAAAAGCATGGATGGCCTCAAGAATATTTCTGGAATTTTTGAGAACAAAATTTACCCCTTTTGTATTTAAATTTATTGATAAAAAATAAGGACAAATAGGGTAATTGGTTATTGATATTAAATGAGTTGAAAAGAGCTAATTTTAAGATATCAAGCATTCAATTCCCTCTCATTCAATCCAACATTTAAGTTATTAACTTGCATTCATGTTCATTGAATCATAAATTTAAGTCATTTTTTTTTTCATCTTATCGTTAAGTTCAATTAATTAAATCCATATTTAATAAATTAATAATTCCAATAACATAAAAGCTTATACTTTTAAAATCTATATAGAAAAAATAGTGTTTTCATCTAGGTGGTGGTAAGAAATTAAACCATTTTGGGTCAATTGGGTCAATCCATGTTGTCAAAGTTAAATAATAAAATTCAAAAATAGATAAAAAGAAAAAATTAGAAATTAAAAAATTGGGAAAATTTTTAACATACATATTAAACAATTATAAGTATGATAAATAAGAAATATTTTTATTAAAGATGGAAATGGAATGTAAAATTTAAAACCAATTAGAAATAAAAATATTTTCCTATTTTCTCTCATTAAATGCTATATTTAAGATATATTTTTCTCATCATTAAATTCTTGTAATTAAATCCAAAATATTGATTTTAATAGTATAAAAATAAATATTTGGAAAAGTAATTTCAAAACAAAAACATTATCTTCCCTTCCAGTGGTGGGCAAGCAATTCAACCATTTGGGGTCAAATGAATTAATAAATAATGCCATAATTAAATAATAAAAAATAAAATAAATAAGCATGAAATGTAAGAAATATTTTTATTAATGATGAAATGAAATGCTAAATTTAAAATCTACCTAGAAATGAAATGATGTCATAGTCAAATAATAAAATTTTAAAAATAGAAAATACAAAGAATCACAAAAATAAAAAATAAAAAAATAGAGAAAATTTTGGGTGCATATATATATATATAATGTTATATATTTATAAAAAATAAAATATTGGGTACATTTATAATATTATGCATTCATTATATTGAACAAAAATAAGTATTATACATAAGAAATAATTTTATCAATGATGGAAATGTAATACAAAATTTAATGTCTACCTAGAAATTAGACTATTTTTCTTTTTAGGTGGTGGTTAGTGGTTTGGGTCAAATGATATCATAGACAAACAAAAATTAAGTGTAATAAGTAAAAATTATTTATATAATGTACATGAAATATATAGTTTAAAGGGAAAATTATAGTTAAAGCCAATTGTACATTTAAAATTAGGTTGTAAGATGACCCAAAAACCAATAAAACTCTGACAACTAACTTTACATTTCAAATTATAAAAACCCCCCATCATGTCATCGGAGCCTTATGTGGTTGTTGGCAACATAGGACTCTTAATCCATGTTGGACGCAATAAAAAGCCTATACCAAAAATAGGTTTTTAGTTTCTCTCACACTCCTTCTCTCTCGATCTCCCTCCCTTCTCTCTCACACTCACAATCATGCCTCGATCTTTTGTTACCTTTGTCTCTCCCATTCTCTCAACTTCGATCTGCAGCCAAATTCTCCCTTACTTTTCCTCTCGATCAATATCTCCTTCTCCCTTAATATCTATTGTTCTCCCGCTCTCTCTCTTGTTATTTTCTTTTTATTTTTCTTACAAACTTATATAATATTAGTCAAACCGTATAAAAGAACTAAAGGGACCAACCACTTGTACAATCAAGTTATAAATTTCTATCAAGTTAGTGTAAATTTCACGACCAAGAGTTTCTTGTAAATTTTTATCAAATTGGTGTAATGATAATCGTCCATTTTTTATTTTTTTTACACACTTATACCACTTGTACAATCAAGCTATTTTCTTATATAGATGGTGGGTCAATGATCCAACTTTTCAAAGAAACCCATGATGTCATAATTGAATAATAAATATTTAAAAAATATAGAGCACATTTGAGAGCATTTCTAATGTTATATATTCATCATATTAAATAAAATAATTGTTAAAATAAAAGCTATTTTTTTATGATAGAAATGGAATACAAAATTTAATAATAATAATAATAATAATAATAATTGTTATTTGCTACAAGCATTTAAGTTTATTTTTAATCATATTGTTACTTTTGTTAATTTTCAATTTCTATCTTAACTATGATATATCTAAAACTCAATTAATTAATATGAAGAAAAAATTTTCACATGCAACAAATGTGCTTAATTACTAGTAATAATAAAAGTATTACACCCTGTTTGGATAGATTTTTATAAAGTACTTTCATACTTTTGAAAGTATAAAAGTATGAAAACACGATATAGCGTTTGCATTATATACTTCATATGTTTTGCTTTCATACTTTTAAAAGTATGAAAACCCCAAAAGCACAAAGTTGGCTTTTTATATTTCATGCTTTTGGTGAAATAATGTTTTTTGTTTTTGTGTGAATGGGTGGTCATGTGTGACCACCCTTTAATAAAACTCTCGACCCTACCTCTTCTCGTTGTTGCTAGAGTTGGACCACCGTCGTCGATCTCAGACAGTGAAACCACCAAAACCCGTAACTGGAAGTACAAATGGACATGCTTTTGCCAAACAGAAAATGGTACTTCTATTTTAAAAAAACATACTTTTCAAAATTTTTTATCTAAATAATTTTCAAAACAAAATACCAAAGTAAAAATATCTTATATAATTTATACTTTGGTATTTTAAAAGTATAAAAATAAAAATCTATCCAAACAGTGCCTTGATTTATCTTTCGTAATTCAGTAATACTATGAATTTGGCCTATTTCTGATCAAATCCTTCCACTGGAACCCTTATAGTGGCCCCACATAAGTACATAACAAGCGAGATCCACGCATCACGCATGCAATAATGGATGTTCCTCCCACGAAGGGTTGGGTCTTGGGTGGATTAAGATTTGATTGATCTGAACCCAATTGGTCTAGGCTCATGGGCCGTGTTTTTGTCTGCCCAAGGCCTCAAACTAAGCTGGTTCAGTTCCAACTTCTAAGCCGAGGCCCAGCCTGAAGCTCAAAATGCGAGAGCATGCAAAGGGCTGGGCCTGTCTGCCCATACTGAACTCTAGTTAAAAGTTAAAAGCAATGCTTTATGTGTGTGTAAATTTATTTATTATTATTATTATTTGTTTTTATTAGATCAATAAGGAGGAAGAAGCTGTTTGATAACAGCTGAAATGTCTGAATTGAATGATTTCTTTGCCTTCCAGTGTCTTAATAACTCGTTCATCTCAGCTGTTATCAATGGCATGCCGCCATGCTCTCCGCCAATACCGTGAAAAGCTTGTAGTTCCGCAGGGGTTGATCTTAGAGTGTAATTTAGATTGGGTTGATTTGGTGAAATTGTAAAATTTTCAATGGGTCCAAACCCTACACCCAGCCGGATGCAATTGAACTTCTTACAATCTGGCAACCTGAATACAGCCCTAATAGATTTTTGTGCCTGTGTGAGAGGGCTTTCACACGGTAGCTTTTGGCATTGTAAGATAGGCCCCATACAAAAAGCCGTGAGGTTTAGGTATGGTGAAAATCCCAAAAAACGTTTACATTGAGTTGAGAAATCAATTTTCATTCAATAACTACTTCAATATAATTCAATGAATGCAGCTCAATCAAAACTAAAACCCTCCCAAACGGGGCACTCCAACAGTGATGCGGAGTGGCCATCTCAAAATAGCAGCGAAAAAGGATAAACCAATTGCAATTTGCAACTACAAAGCGAATGTTTGTTTATACATGCTTACCAACTGCTTGGTTTGCCACAAGAAATAAAAACAGCTTTTTATTCGACAAAACAAAATAATGCACCAGCCGGGAATCGAACCCGGGTCTGTACCGTGGCAGGGTACTATTCTACCACTAGACCACTGGTGCTCATTGTTATTGATCGAGAGTCACTTAAACTCTTGATATTATCCGTTTTCGAAAAGTAACAATTTCAACCACTTCAGATCGATAAAAGAAAACCAGAAAACGAGTCAGCTTTGTAAGTTGAACCGGTGGATTGGATCATGGGTGAACCAGTGGATTAGACCAGAGCTGTAGGTTGGGTCTGGGCTTGGTCAATGAAGACTCAAGACTTTGGCCCCGATACCAATAAGAAAGCAAAATTGCACAAAGACCTTGGTTATGAGTGCTAACTGCGAAGCCCTTGGTTTGGTAATTTTGACGATGAACGGATCGGCTCGGTTTGACCCGGGTCGTTGACAGCCCTACTGGTCCTGGTGCTCCCAACAGGCCAACAGCTATTTTATCTGATAGCTGATACCGTGGTACTGCGATACATCCCCTGGTGGCCTGGTATCTCCTGATCCCCTCCATTAAAAATAAATAAATCAAAACTGAAAAGTTCAACAAAATGCCTATCCTCTTCTCTCCATCGTTCTTAGTTCCCTCTTGCGCCCAGAACGAGTTCAGCTTGTGCAATTCGAAATCCAACAAAACCTATGCTTTTCATCAAAATTTCAACCTCTTTTACTGCAACATCTCTCGGAAAACCCCTTGTTTATCCTCCAAATTCCCCACATTTCTCAGGTACTACCCTTCTAAAACCCTATACTTCACTTGCAGAGATGGCATCAGCCCTAGTTTTGGGCAACTCGACGGAGATGAGACGATGGATTTCGACTTGGGGGAGTTGGGTGACGAGGAAGACGAGGGGTCGCCATGGGAGGGGGCTATTGTTTACAAGAGGAACCCTTCGGTCTCGCATCTGGAGTACTGCACCACATTAGAGAGGCTAGGGTTAGGGAAGCTGTCCACGGAGCTGTCCAAGTCCAGGGCTTCGGAAATGGGATTACGGGTTACGAAAGCCGTCAAGGATTTTCCACTCGGGACGCCTGTTCAAATCTCCATTGATGTTACTAGGAAGAAGCAGAAGCTGAGGCTTGATGGGATTATAAGAACTGTAATCACTCTCGGTTGCAATAGGTAAATTGTTTTTTTTTTGTTCTTTCTTTAATATGGATTTATGATTGGTGAAAGGATGTAGAAAGCCAAAAGGCTGGATAAAGTTAGAAATTATCACTTTGATTATAATTTGTTCATGTTCATTCTATGTAAATTTGACATCTAAAGGTAGGAGAATAGGAGGCATCTGGGAGCCATGTAGAATGGAATCAGTTCATGAAATTATTTTCATTTCCATGTGTTCTTAAACGCCCCATAACATGATAATGTGGATTCCCTTCAATGAATATGTCAGAACTAGTTTTTTCAGTTTGATGTATAAATCAATCATAAATACAAAATCACCATGTAGGAATCCTTGTATTTCGTGTCTTAGTGGCACTATATAATGGTCACAACTTAAAATGCTTTTTTTAGTTGAATTTCTTAAAGTAGGAGAGTTTTAGCACTCGTATCTGTATCAACATTATAGAGGTCATATTTTTTTTTGCAGGAAATTTATTTCTATTATTTATCTGAAAGATCCTGTAGGCTGTAGCATGAATCCTACCAGAAAAGCAAGAAAATGTAAATTAACTTAAAGAAGAGTAGAAGACATACAAGTAAAGGACTATAGGTGGATATTTTGACAATAATATAACTTATACGTTTTGTTCTTTTGGGATTAAAATAGATAAGATGCATAGGATGCATTGAGGATCTGAGATTGCTTTTAATATTATTTGATAGGAGAAGAGCTACACTATATGGAGAAATTGGACTGCTTTGGATTTGTAAATTGTAATTTTGATGTTTAGTTTTCGTTTCTTTGCCCTTTTAGTTATATTCTCTCATTATCTTGTTTTTTTATTTGTAACTTTGTTTATATTTTTGTAAAATACAGACTGTGCATTGTTCATCATGTATTAGCAGAAACTGAAGTTTAGATATATAGAAGTAAAAAGAAACGAGAGGATGCTAAATGCAGATTTTGCTGGAACTTGATCCATGAAGTAGATAATGTAGCAATAACATACCTATCCACCTCTACTCTTTCCCTTGACCCATTAACGGGATCATGTGCAAGATGTATATCTATGCCCCATCAGAATGATTATGATAATATTTCAATAATTACAAATTGAGAGAAACACAACACATCAAAAACAGTCAAATTGTGTAGTTCATGAAATGGAACAAAGAATGCATTTAAGTTGAACTTGGGCAGCCAAGTGCACGAGTCTCCCACCAGTTTGCTATTTTCCTTTATATTAAATCTCAGTTCCATAAGACTGATGCCGTGTGTGATGATAGTGTTTGTTTGATGAAACTTTTAGACATTGTACTTCATGTTATTCATTTTATTTTTAATCTTATCATTTTTGTGTTATTGTTGTGGGGCCCACACAATCAGTTTTTGCTTTGTTGGTCCCCACATGTTTCTACAATTATCATTTTTTATTGTATACATACATGTGTTATTAACTTATTATCTTGTTGTTAAAGGAAGGATGAGAATGAAAATTGTAACCAAACGGATCTAGATTCATTCTCATTCTTGCCACCAAAAAAATCATTTTCTGAAATAAAAATTGTTTTGTTTGCAGCTACTTTTTCTCATTCTTTCCATTCTTGCCCATTCTAGAATCTTATGCTGGGTAAGGATGAGCAAGAATGGGATTGAATTAAACATGGCCTAAGGAACCAGGAAAAGGAACACCATGACTGAAAATATTCCCTAGTGGGACTCTGCAAATCATATTTCCTGTCTCTGTTGTCTGTATGGATGCCATGCCTACAGAATAGGTCCATGTTTAGAAAATGTGACTGGACTTTTCTTCTTCCAATTTTACAATCTATTGCGATTCTTCATTGCTAACTATTCCATTACTAAAACTAAACTGTATTTAGTTGGTTGTATGCACAAAGTACCAGTTGTTGGATTTCATCATGACTTCTGTTTTCATTCTGCGTGAAAGGTGTGGTGAGCCAGCCACAGAGTGTCTTTTCTCCAACTTTACACTTCTATTAACTGAGGAACCTATTGAAGAACCAGATGTGATCAACATGGGAGTAATATTTGGAAAAGATAAATTTAAATCATCGATGGAAAGTAGTTTCGAGAATGATGATGAGGCTTCAATTGATTTGGATGATCAACTCTATTTTCCTGCTGAACAGAAAGAAATTGATATCTCGAAGCACATACGAGACATGGTGCATGTGGAGATAACCATTAATGCAATATGCATTCCCAGCTGCAAAGGTTTATGCCTCAGGTGTGGTACAAATCTTAACACTGGTAGCTGTAATTGTAGTAAACAGGAGGTAAAGGAGAAAGACTATGGTCCTTTGGGAAATTTGAGAAAGCAAATACAACAAATATAATTTGTAGATAGATGCCTTTATTGTTTACTCCCACCCCTATTGATGCTACTTTATTCTCTACCACTTGCCATTGTTGAACGATTTGAGGTTTTGTACGATCATTCTTCGAGGATTGGTAAAGAGCAGTGCAGCGACCATCTTTTTTGGCTTTCCATTGCTTCTTCACGCACAACCTCTTCAACGCTCTACAGCTCATCATCATCAAAAAAGGAAAAAAAAACCCTACGACTCATTTCTCTTGAGATGTTCGTTTCATATTGAAGCAAAGGATCTCTTATATAATGTTCCTTTCATATTGAAGTGGGGAGGGTCACTTATGAGATTCACCGTTGATTTCAAGGTCAAACAAACAACTTGTAGGTAAACTTTATCTCACCCCTGCCTAAGAACATTTTAAGATCTAATCCAGCTACCTGATTCTACAACTGGGATTGTAGAGTATAAGACACTATATCGGAATCTTCTAAATCTGAAAAAGGCATCAACTTGTTGCATTTACCATGAGATTGTAAGGCGTTGTAAGGCTTAATTATGACGTGTGCTCTTTAGAGATGGATTTTCAAATTCAAAGGATTTGTGTGTTTTCATGAGCAATGAGAGGAACATCTTGTTGTTATCCTTGTATGGTTAAATGGTTTTTGACAGTTGTTTATGGCTCTGTTTCAAGAAATGTATTCTCTTTTTGTGTTTTGAGAAATGAAAATGTCGTTGACATTTGGTTCCTTCAATCCTTCTAATAAATAAATGGCTGCCAGGAATTAGTTGGTGGCAAAGCCCACTTTAGTTCCCTTCTCATTTCCCAATCAAACCAAGTGTTGATGGGGCTTGTAGGGATAGTTCAGGTGAGAGTGCTGATGAAATCATTGTTAGAGATGTAAATAGGGCCTGCTGTTCTCCCTTTTATAACTACTATTAGGGGTGAGCAAAAGGGTAGGTCCTACCCTATCTAATCCATTACAAAGCATAATCTGGCTTCAAATTCTTCGAATTGACCCCCCAGGTCGGTTCTAGGGTCTAGGGGTTTAATCTACCCGAATCAACCCGATGATCTAACCTTGGTGGAACTTGCCTTGAAATAAACTCCAAAATAATTTTAAAGATGTGAAGATTTGAACCCAAACACTCATAGTTACAAAGGCCATGGTTTCACTTTGACCATTGAGTTACTTGAGTTATTTGATCATATGTTCTAATTTTAATATTTAAATGTGCACAATAAGTAATGTAAAAGGTAATATTTACAAAATTTAAATGTAAATTATAAGTTTTAAATCATATAATGATAATCTACGTATTAAGTTACTCAATTTAATCAATAAAGATAATATAAGTTTTAAACTATACAATATTAAAAACCAAGTTTTTAAAGAACATATTTCTTTTTTATTGGAGGGGGGAGTAAAGAAAGAACTAATTCCATGGATAGACCCTAGAACTAACCTTCATAGGGTAGGTTCTAGGTTCTGCCATGGAATTGAACTGAATCAACCCATGCTCACCCCTAACTGAACTGAACTTTGACCAACCCCCAACTGCTATGGTATCAGGTCCTCCATAAACATTGAATGCATGGCTCTTTCTGATGGGCTTACTATGTGCCACAAGAAGGGTATCAACGAGGTGGAGATGGAGAGTGATAGTAAATGCTTAGTCAAAGTTCTTCTTGAGAAGGTTCAATGTCCATGGTCCCTAACTTATTACTTACAAGATATCGGGGAGTTTTGCACTTCTATAAGAATCAAAGTCTTCCTTACTCTTGGAGAAGAGAGTTGGTGCACTGATCTTTTGGCCAACATTGGCATATTTGAGAGAAGATACCATGTCTTCAATTTGACTCAAGGTGCTCTGCATAAGCTTATAAATTTGCTCAAAGAGGATTATATGAAACTTTTTGTTCTTCGTATTGACCGATGGTTTTTAAGTTTTTATTTTATTTTTGTTGCATTTGATTTTTATTTCTGCTTTGGTTCTTGGGGGCAAATCTGGCTACATCCTCCCCTGTATTGGATAATAGATGTTTTTGATAAATAATGTTGGACAATAAAATTGTTAGGTCGTCGCCCCTCCACTTGGAATAAAATCAGGGGTTAAAAAATGTCATTGACATTTAGTGTAAATTTCACTCATTCAATAATGAGTTTGGTAGAGCCTAGATGGTATAGTTAGTATAAGGAAATTGCAAATAGATCTTTTTAATTCTTGCCAGTTTAGGAAAGATATTTGGAATCTTTTCTCTCTATTTATGCAAACACTGGTAGCTTCAAATTGATTTTCTAGGCCTTTTTGAGACTTGCTTCTTCTCCTCTTAGAGAATAAAAATTAAGTAGAGGCACACTGCAATGCCATCCTATGGAGTAGTATCTGGGCATAAAGAAATTCTAGGACCTTTCTAAATGAGGATTGAAAATGAATTTTTGTCATTAGTAGAGTTTCCTATCGGATTGTTATGAGAGATGACTTTAGGGACAATTTTGTCAACTAGGATTTGTAGTCAACCCATGAAATAGCAGTCCACCCACTTTTAGAGGGAGTGTACAACTATACTTTGATGACTTCGTTTTGAGAGTTGTGGTCCTTGGCTTACTCAGCCATCAAATATAGGGATGGCAATTTCTACCCTACCCGGTGGGTATTCGCCCCTATCCTTCCTGACAAAGTGGTTTTTTTTTTTTTTTTGAAGGATGGGTTTTGGGGTGGGGACATGTTTTCGGATTCTACAATCCATACGGTATTAGGCTAAACCTGGCCCTTCCCGACCTGCATATTGTTGGAAAGCATATAACTTTATGTACTAGGTGTTGAATTTAATAATATTTTGAATTTTATGTGAAAGATGATTGATAGTTTATGTGTTTTCTACATGTCTTAATAAAATAACTAATTGAAAATTTTGTTGTTTATTTGTGTTATTTTACTTATTTATTGTTTATATATGAAGATAAATAATAAAAAATTAGATGTGGGTTCTAGACCCAACCTGCCCCTATCCTTGAATGTAGAGAGGGTTTTGCATTTTTCATGTATGAGACGGTTTGGATTCTCAAAATCCAATCCACTGCAGGTTTTGGAGTGGGTACGGGCTGGGAGGTTTAGGGAGGCGGGTTTACAAAACCCTCTCCGAACCCACCCCGTTGCCATAATAAAGTGGGTCTTTTCTCTCCACTCCCAAAAAAAAACTTAAACTAAATTGTAAAGGTCACTCTCTAAAGCTCCTCCAACTCCCGAAATTAAAAAAAAATATATTTATATTTTATTTAATTAAAAAGAATAAAAAAATACAAAAAAGGGTATTTACTACTCATGTAATAGTTCAAACAAAAATCAAGTTATTTCAAAGATCGAATACCTTTTTAGGAATGAAGTAGTGAAGATATGGTACCTAGCTAGAATATTTTGAACTAAAATCAAAGAATAGGATATATGAAGAACCGAGTTGAAGAACAAAATAGACAAAGAACTAAGATTGAAAAATGGATTGAGTGAACAAAATTGACCACTGACGTCCAAAGAAGTCTTTGATCTTGTTTCTCTAGGAGATGGAAAGCCGTTAAGAGACAAAACATGGATGGAACCTATGATTTTTTTGCATGGTTTTTAAAATCGAATCGGTGACTGAACCGGTCAGGGGTCTAGTTATCAGTTTGAACGGTTTGACCATTCGACTCAAACAGCCAGCCCGTTTTGACAAAAAAAATAAAAATTAAAAAATTAAAAAATTTGAAAAACGGTTAAAACCGTTTGAACGGTTCGAATGGTACCGGCCGGTTCAGCGATTTGTTGACCAAAATCAGCGGTTTTGGGGAAAAACGGGTGATCGGTTCCCGGTTTTTCTGGTCCAACTGTCCAATCCGATCTGGTTTTGAAAACCATGATTTTTTGAACATTGTTATTTTTTGGGTAAATTACAAAGACCCCCTTTACTTTGTTTTGCGACAAAGTAAGTCTCCCTTTTGTTAGCTTTTTGTTGAAATCCACCATTGCAATATTTTTTTAATCCCCATACAACCCTTATAATAACTATTAATTGGGAGAAAAACACTATTCATCTTCCCCCACCTCATGATACACGAACAGCAGCGGTAGTAGCTATTTGAGCGGCGGAAAACTTCCATTGAAGTCCTCCCTCTCTCTCCCCCGATCTCTCTTCTTCTCCTTCCCTTTTCTCTCCTCCCCTTTCTTCTTTTCGGTTTCATCTGTTTTCAGTTCCTTGCAGATGGAGAACAGACCACAGAAAGATAAAGAACACAGTAAATTGAGACACGCACGAGGAATCATCATAATTACTGTATAATAAGAATGAAATAATCTTACAGTGCCTGACTTCAAGTCGATTGGAGGCCATGTTTAGATTGCCGGTGATATCTTTTGCTTTCCCTTCTGGAACGAAAACTGAGACCACATTTGGGGATGTGGCTAAGATACTTAAAGAGTATAGAGCTTTTTTAATTTCTTTAAAGCTGAAAAAAAGAAAAGAAAAGATGAGAAACCAATAACTATTTATGTCAAGGGAGCTATTGTCTTCCAGGAATAGAAAATTTGTTACGTTTCTGCAAGAAAAAAAAAAAAAAACAAAAAACAAAAAAACAGTCGCTAGATTAGATATGTCAATACTGGCATTCTGATATCATCTGTTTTGCTTGTTTTCAGCGTACAAATGATTCTTGAAATACGATTTGAATGGTTTTGAGTGCGACCTGCCTTGTTAGACTGCCAAGGCCTCAAAGTTAAAGACTGGTTTTGTAAATTCAACTATCACATCGATGTTTGACTTCTTTGTAACTCCTGGGGATCCTGTGCTTAATCTGACAATAGGCTCTGTAGAATCTGAGGAAGAAAAAGAAATTTCCATCCATTAGCTTCCTAATCGAGTTGGGAATGAATCCCTTTGAACCAACTCGGAAATCATCAAGACAATGAGATTGAAGCGGAAATCACAAAAACAATTCTACAGGTTTTGTAGAATTTGCAAGGAATAAAAATTAGAGGAAATGGGAAAGAAGAAAGGGGAGGAGAGAAAGAGAAAGGAGAAGAAGAGAGATCGGGGGAGAGAGAGAGAAGACTACAACAGAAGTTCGTGCGCCGCGGCAATAACTATCACCCTGTTATTCGTGAGGTTGGGAAAGATAACAGTGTTTTTCTTCCTATTAATAATTATTATAAGGATA